GGAATACAAAGATGCTAGATGATTTAAATTCTTTTTATCAGCAAAGAGGCTGCTAAATACAAAACTGAGAAGGTAAAAAAATAGTAGGTTTATCAGGTCTGGGGGACTTCTGGTAAATGATGGGGTGAATAAATATATTGATGAGTCAAAAGCCAATGAGTCGATATTTATGTATTATATAAACCTGTGAGAGTTTAATATGCATAAACTAAATAGTGAGACTTGGTGGTTAGAATAGGAAGCTGAGGAGAAAAAGCCCCAAGCCCCTTAGATATACAGTGTGAGAAATGTGGGAGTATTTAAAAAAAAAAAAAGTTCTTCATGAGAGCTCAATGAAGATTTGAGAAAGTTGGAGGAGGTAAAGCACAAGAAATACCTTTGCCTGTTTGCTTGGTGTTACTTCAAAAAGTGATCTAAAAGACATCAACTTGAAAATCAATCACTTGAAAAATAGGTTAGGTTTCACATGTGTGCCCTCACACAAGCCCCTTTTTAGCATGTTTATTCTTGACAACCACAGTTTCCTCTTTTTATTTTAATTCTGATTTTTTTCTTAAAATTTTATGTATAACATAGGAAACTTAAAAGTAAGACTGTAAAAGTACTGTATTTTTAAAAAATTATTCTCTGGTTTATTGTAGCTGATAGGGATTTTAAGTGTTATTAATATTAGTACTATATACAGAAAAACCTGACAGAAAAGTTACTGTTCAGTGAATACAGAGGAGGATTGAATATGAAACTCAATATCATTCTGGGGACTTTGGTAAATCTTTTCCCCCTTTGTGTTAATAATAGCTCATACACCTGCAGGTTTCACTTTGAGTTTCTGGTTTGAGTAAGTTCAAGGTTACTTATAAATGTCAAAAGAATTTGCTGGTCCAAAATGCAGCAATGTCTTCCTTGAATGGGATAGTTTCCCAAATCTGGGTACTGTTTTGTCTGTTTGCCCCTCCTGTGACAATCAGATAAAAGAAACTGAAATTATTGTGGAGAGAAGTCAAATAGGAGGAAAGTGGATGGACACTTTTTTGCAGCTCCACATTTTGGGAACTCACTTTACTATCCTTGGCTTTTCTAGCCCTTGACAAAATCCCTGATGACTTTGGAAAGTTCTCATATCAGTTTAAGAAATCATTCAGTGTGTTCTAACATAAGAATATTTTCAGGGTATTTGGTGATTATGATGTTAATTTTGTCTTCCTAAACCTGGTCAATAAAAATTCAAGACAAAAAAAAAAAGGAAAAAAAGATACCAGTAGGGGCCTGTGGTTGTGTTCATTGAAAGGGGCACCGACGTCTTTCATTCTAAAAATATATGTTCAGGCTTTCTCCCTTGCCCATGTGCTTAAGGTGGAAAAAAAACCCCAACAACAACAACAACAAAAAAACCAAAAAAACCCCTAACATCCTAGTATTAATTGTAATTTATTTGAATTGATAAGGAAAAGTCATCGGTGACTAACTCAGCTCTAATTTACTACAGTGGAAATCCTTACAGAATTCTTTGCACGTTGCTTTTTCGTAGGATTACATTATTTTTCTTACGAATTGAATGTGCCTGAAGATTCAGAAAAATCATATAATTGGAAAGAAAGAAGCTCTGAATTTACTAGAACCTGTAAAAATAATGAAATTTGGTGAAAGTGTTGTGTAACCCAGTATTCAGTTCTCTTGCCTTTTTTTTTTGGTTTTGTTGTTAACTACTGAAAAGGGTTCTTACACTTCCTTTTTTTCCCCTTTTTTAGACAATTCTTACTCCTCCTCTTGATAACACCTCCTGGTTGTAACCCAAGAGTCATTTTTTGCCATTTTCTTATTTCTATTCTGGAAAAATATAGCAAAGCAGGATTTCAGTTTAATAAAGGAACCAGTATGAACACTTGTTCCTGAAAGTAGATCTAACTGGTGCTTAAAAAAACCACAAAAACATACAAATGGTTAGAGCTGATAAGATTCCTCCAGCAGATATTTTGTTCTCCTAAATCAGAAAACAGGAAAACACAAAATTATTCAGTGTTATTTAAGCACTGATGAGATACTTGTCAGTATGAGGTGCTGCTCCATTTTTTGTCACATAACAAATCTGACTTCACTCTGCCTGATTAAATAAGTGCCATTTTATCTTTTTTATGAAAATTGATTCTCCAAGTGCCAGGTGTGTAGGAAGCTACACAGCTGTTGATTCAAGTAAATGAATTAAGATTCAGTCATCATTTACCCAACCAGTGTACTGCTGAATCTGCAGAAATGGAATTTTGTATAGAAAGCTCTGTCTGATAACTGTGATACATACAGAGAGTGAGCCATCCGGCGTGACTTCCTCAGCTGGAAATGAAGCAGATGAGATGACTTCAGCTCTCCGTTCGTTCAGCCATGTGCCCTGTTACGTGGGCACAGCTGTGCCATCTCCACTGTTGGGCTAGAGTTGCCCTCAGCCCTGCATCCTATTATTTAAGGGCATCAAGTTCCCAAATCTTTAAGTTGTTGATTTCTGTCAAGTCTAGTTCCTGGATTCCTTTGCTGTGTTTAGTTATACCAGCTTCAGAAAAGTCTAAAGCAGGTAGAATATGCCCTGAGCCTGACTGCTAAAAGCTGTACGTGCCTACTTCTAATGAGTTCTGGTGTCGGGGATAACACAGGTGGTCAGAGGACAGGTGGAAATTTGGCCAGTCTTACTCATGTAGATGCCGGAAAGACCAAGTCTAAAGGAGGCAGAGCAGCTCAGATTGCTCCACTATTAGCTGTCATATTAATGACATCCTACCAAACCACAGACATTGATTTCGGTGGTTCAATGGCCTTTATCATTTAACTATGGAATAGTTACATGACTCAAGATGCTCTATTAAAGGGAAAGTGTTAAGGTTGAAGAACAGGATACTTGCTGGTCTTCTGTTCTTGCCAGTCTTTGTCATTAGAGTTGTTCCTGTCCTCAGTTGATTGCTTTCTTGCATCACGTTGGTCTTCATCCTGTCAGGTGCTGTATGTTGACCTTGGCTGGCCATCAGATTTCCACCAGGCCACTCTTATCACTCCCCCCACCTCAGCAGAACAGGGAGAGAAAATACAATGGAAAAGCTCATAGGCTGAGATAAGGACAGGGAGATCACTTACCAATTATCACCACGGGCAAAACAGACTCAACATACAAAAATTAATTTATTGCCAATTAATTAGTAGAATAGTGAGAAATGAGAACAAAAATAAAAACATGTTCACCCCACCCCTCCCTTCTTCCCAGGCCCAGCTTCACTCACACCTCTTCTGCCTCTTCCCCCTTAAACAGTGCAGGGGGATGGGGAATGGGTGTTGTGGTCAGTTCATAACACTTTCTCTGCCACTCCTTCCTCT